GAGAAAAGGCTGTGGCCGCTCATTTATAGATTCATTCTTTTATGTTGTTCATGCAACATGCTAATCGCTCGTGAGGGATGGGCTTTGTCAGCCTGGGGGTAATTTTTCCCCCTTGCTTTTGTGATGAGAGGAATTTGGTTGCAAGATGGCTGGTAACTTATCTGGGGGGCCCGGTCCAGGGTGAGAAATAAAGGCTGCCGGTCCTATGTTTGAACAGGTGACCTTGCCCTTGGAACCAGGTGAGCTTGCTGCCCGCGGACAGGGCTGCTAGGAACCCATCAGTTAGTACAGCCTTGTGAAAGGACCCACATGTGAAAGAGTAGGAAACAGACCAACAAACTGGCTTCCCTGATGCTGAAACTGCTGATTCATTCTAAGACCTCCTGCAATGTGCTTCTCCCTTACTGCTGTTGTGTGAAACAACCCCAAACATTACACTATGCTCTCCCCTCCCCATGCATTCCTTACTGAGAACAGCTTTAACCCAGAGGCTCTGCTCCAGGAAGGTGGTAACCGGCTGATAATCTCAGAAGAATGGACAGACCCTCCAGAGTTCCTCTGTGAGGCCAGGAGGATCCATCGAGGTTAGGAGCAACGTAGGACGCTGTAGAACACCCTGATTGTTAATCCTCTTTTCTGTTCCATCCAGTTTTTCTATTAAACCTTAAGACCCCAACACCAAGATGGATTCAGAGTCCCTACGACATGAGTCTGCTGTGACTCCCCTTTGCCTGGCAAAGCCATAAAGCTGTTCTTTTCTGATTCTCCCCAAACTCGGCCTCCAACTCTCCACCTGGCTATCGGGGTGCAGAGGCTGGTTTTGCAGCAGCAGACGCCTAGGTCCTGCAAGAGGCGAGGTCTAGACAGCCCGCCTTGCTGGCCAGCATTGACAGTGGGTGTGGTGTTATAGCTGAGGCTTGAGTGTGCTGTTTGGCAGGGCTTCATGTTACATTTGAACCTTGTTTCCCTTGGTACCTTTGGCCAGTGTCATGGGAAACCATTGAGTTGCTGCCTTCCTACTGGGATTCCAAGTCCCCTGGCCCACCCCTTCCTTCCTCTCAGGCTTGCCCTGGGATTTTCTTCTGTGTTGACATTCCTCAAGGGAGAAGAGTGTTGGCTTCCAGAGAGAGTCTGCTTTCTTAATGCCTGGAGTACCCCCGCCCCAGTGACTTGGAAAGGGCCTGGGCCAGAGGGCATCTGAAGGCAGCCGTCAGTGTCAGACTCCATCGCTGCTGCTCCTCGTGCCGCTCACTCCCCCAGCCAGTGCTCCGTGTTGAATCAAACACAAGAACCCTCACAGAATTTATGTGATGGCTTTCTCTTTGGTGGAGAGTTTCCATCTCAGTCTGGGGCTTCTACTTCTTTTGGAAGCCCTACCAGGATTCCCGTGCAAACCCCGTGCCTGGTAGCCTGCCTTGATAGACCCCAGATTCCTAAGGAGTCAGACGAGCAGCTCTCTTAGGGAGATCTGAAGGTCATTTATATCATACATCGCTTTGCATCGTGTTTACGTATGTGATTTGCTTTTGCTTGGGCTATTTCTAAACTTCTTTTCCATTCCCTGGGTGGGAACTGGGAGAGGGGAGAGAAGGAGCCCACACACTTCAAGAACCTCATGGGAAAGTCGGCACCTGATCATCCCTCTTGTATACAGTCATCTACACGTGCATCAGGGAGAGTTGCTTGCTATTAAATTCTCTTATCTTTAGGAGCCCATCTTTTCTGCTTTCTTCCCCTGCTCATTTACTACCAGTCTGCTGTACCCACTGGCTTCCCAGAGAAATGAAGAATCAGTGGGAGCTGATTGGAATTTTTTAGATGCATAGAAGCAGCAGGATAGTTAAGCCACGATTGGGTGTGCTAGTCCCCAGCAATGGCTTGTATCAAACAAGGGTGTGTGTGTGTGTGTGTGTGTGTCCCTCCCCTTCCTGATTATGGCCCTGTAATTACCCTTACCCTACCCCAGAACTGATTTCCCGTCATAATGTTCCGATGGAAGGGGTAGGTTAGTTAGAGGCTTTAAGGAAATGGTTTACCACCGCAGCTCATTGGCGGCGATTAAAATGCAAATCCTCTCACTCAGTAGGTAGAATGGTGCTTTGATGTGTCCTTTTGTTGGGTGGTGGTTGGTGGGGCAGGCGGGGGAGAGGCGTCAGCTGACTTGTAATGAGGGCTCATCAGCAGAAATTGCTTCCTTTCTCTGCTCTCAGGCAGTCTGGGGGAGCGCTGAATTTTGGGAAATGGAACCAGGGCACAGAGAAGAAAGGGCTGGCTCTGCCCACAGCCAGGCCTGTGTGGTGCAGAAAAATTTTTCAGGCAGAGAAACCTTCTCTCTGTTTGTAGTGTCCTCTTGCTTGAGGGTGTGTGTTATGATGAAAACTTGTCCCAAGGGTGAGGATGTGGGGTTCTCACTTAAGAAAGTATAACCAGAGAAGTTCTGAGAATCATCTCTCTTCACAGAGAGATCTGCCGTAGGCTCTCAGCGTCCATTCCCCTGGGTCAGCCAAGTTCTCCAGCAGTGCATTTCAGCTGACTTAAGACAGTCTGAAGACAGTGATTACCAAAGTGTCACGAATGGATTTAAGTTGTCATTTAAATGTATGTCATATAGCATTTGTTTTTGTCAAGTAGTCAAGCAAGGGTGATCAGTAGGACTTCTCCAAAAGGTGAGGGAAAATTTTGGTCTAGAGCAAGACTGTCCATTGCTGTAGCCATATGTGGCTAATGAGCTCTTGAAATGTGGCCACTTCAATGAAATACTACTCAGCCATAAAAAGAATAAAATAATGCCATTTGCAGCAACATGGATGGACCTGGAGATTGTCCTACTAAGTGAAGTAAGCCAGAAAGAGAAAGAAAAGTAACATATGGTATCACTTACATGTGGAATCTAAAGAAATGACACACATGAACTTATTTACAAAACAAACAGACTCATAGACATAGAAAACAAACTTATGATTGGTTACCTGGGGGGAAAGAGGAGGGTGGAGGGATAAATTGGGAGTTTGGGATTGGCAGATACTAATAGATAAACAACAGGGTCCTACTGTATAGCACAGGGAACTGTATTCAATTCCTTGTAATAGCCTATAATGAAAAAGAATATGTATATATATGTTTAACTGAATCATTATGTTATACACTAGAAATTAATACAGCGTTATGAACTGGCTATACTTCAGTTAAAAAGAAAAAGAAACTTGGCCACTTCAGTTCAAGATGTGCTGTAAGGATAATGTGTCCTTGAAATTTTGAAGAATTAGTAAGAAAAAGAAATGTAAAATAACTCATTAATAGTTGTTTAATATTGTTTCCATGTTGAAATAATGTTCGGATATATTGGGATGAACGACACACACCAAAATTAATTTTACCTTAAATTAAAATTTTTTTTAAAGTGTGGCTACTCGGACTTGATAATTATCAACGTGTCTCAGATGGTAGTTCAATTGGGCAGCACCAGGCAGGATTTCATCTTAATTCTCCTTTTTCCCCACTAGAGGGAGCTGTGTCCTAACTTCGGGCTGTCTTCGTGCTTAGGCGGTAAACTTCACTGCTTTGGAATGTGCCCTTTTACAAAAGACGGAAAGAACTCAAGTTTTTGCTTTGTTTCAGTTCTGCATAATTCTAATGTTTCTGGAGCTTGCACTTTGTAGGAAAGTGAAGCCAAAATGGTAGAGGCAAGAAGCAGAGAGATTTTCTACCCTCTTTTTGTTAAGAGTTCAGACAGACCTGTTACTTGGTTGGATTGTAGTAGCTTGCTGTTCGAGGGCTGTTCCCTTGGGACTTGAGTCTGTGTACAGTGCGCGCGCACACACACACACACACAATGTGGCAGGTGTGCACCTGTAGCAGAAGGGACCAGGGCATTCACACACGGCCACAGCACCTCCTGGACCGTATGGAATTCAGTGTAAGTGTGTTCCTGAGTTGTGCCCTGGGCCCCAGGACTCTGTGCCCTTCCCTTTCTTTTTCTCCTGGGGGCAGTGTTGCCTGTGGTTGGAGGCTGTGGCTGCTGTTTGCATCTGGTGTGTGTCAGTCTGCCCCTTGATCCTAGTCTGAATCCAGCATCGTTTCATGATTATGTTTCACTGATGCACTCTCTCCTGGTTTTCCTTTGAGCTTTCTGGGTAGCTCCTTTGTGATCTTCTGTGTTTCTTGTGGATTTGTTGGTCCGATAAGCAATGGATTTTTCTTTTCTTGTCTGTGCCTTTTGGGGTGGTCTCAGCCATTCTGGACTTCATCATTAACCCTTTATTGGGGGCTCTTAAGCCTTTACCTCCAACTTTAGCACTCTTTTGAGCTCTGTCCATGCCCACCCAGCTTCCTGTTAGACCTCACATAGACACTCCAAACTCCTTACTCGCCACAGCGCTCCTTACCTCACCCAGCATGCAGTAAGTCCCAGGAGGGCGAGAGCCATGCCAGCTACTCCGTTCCTAGTATTTCATGTCATGCCTGGTTATTGTTCACCCTTCAGAAGTATTTGCAGTCAAATGCTCTACCATTTAAGAAGTACTTGAATGAAGACTTTTAATATGTTTCTTGTTTTAAACTACTTGTATTGTTTACTTATAAACACACGTATGACCATTATACAGTTCCATACATCATCTTAGTAGCATGTACCATCTCTTGGGGTTATGACCATCATCATTTGGTGGCATGGTTTGTTTAAAAACTTTTTTCACTATCTGTACAAAAGTGGGGCATTTGCCCGATTCCTCCTGTGATTCGTGTGTTGGAAGCTTTCTCTCTTGATCCCTCTCCTTTTGTGACCCTTATTACAGTGTAAAGGGACATTTCCATCAGCCCCACCATGTATTTCCAGGAACTTAGGTCACACAAATCAAAGAATGTGACATGTTTCTATGCATGTAGCTCAGTCCACAAGCGGCTTTCCCAGGACGTATTCCAGCTTCTTTTAGTGTCTTTCCTATCAAACCAACTCAGTTTTATTTAGATTTGTGACTAATGGACACTGTTTTTCTTGTCAGAACATGAAGAGGAACTGGACCAAGAATTTGACCTGGAGACGGACACTTTATTTGGAGGATTAAAGAAGGTACAAAGTGGATAAATGATAAACCTTTTCAGTTTTCAAACCTGGTTTCCATACTTTGCATCATTTTTGTGTTTGGCGTTGACTCAGGCTTAGTATTCAGCAACGGCTGGACATTCAGTACCTTTCTTGTTGTAAAAGCCCGCCGTGTGGAGTAAGGTGTTCCCCCTGTTCTTTCTTGATCTTGTCCTGTGTCCTCTGCAGACACCAGAGGTCTGGATCAGTAACCTTATCAGTTCACACACATTTCCCCTTTGTAAAGTTTTAGAAGCTCCTTCCTGACGTAGCCGTATCTGTTGGAGTCCAGTGTGACTCCGGAACACTCCCTATCCCCACTGCTGGCAACCAGAGGAGCTGCTTCCTTCCCGCCTCGGGTGCGCTGCCATCCACACCCTGCAGAGCAGGAATCTCCTCCATTCGGCTCCCTGAGCCTGGGGTGGCAGCCGGCTGGTCATTTAGGTCATTTACCTTCCATGGCAGCTCCCTGTGCCTGCTTAGATGGCAGGCAGGTGGCCACTGTGGCTCTCCTACACGTGATGGTTAGCACTTGTGTTCTTCAGGGTATGTTGTGCGTAGGTACCAGACCCTCCTCTTCTAGTCTGAGAGATGCTGGACTGCTTTCCTTGTTCCACCAGGACCCCTTGCCCCATGAGGCTGGGATTGCTCTCTTTCAGTTAGCCAGGACCCCATTCCAGCAACTACTTGGATGGCAGGAGGTCTGGCTTCAGTTCAGGATGCAGGGTTCAGGTCAACTCTAGTGATAGGCTGTGTATTCCTTTGTAGGCATTTTGCTATGTTTTAAAAATGATATCAAAACATTGTTTCTTTCTCTCTTGGCTCTCAGTGTGTAGTGTGCCAGATATATTATAAGTTCAATCAGCTTTTGGAGGCTGGCTTGGGACATAAAATAGTGCCTGTACCCCAAGCACTGAACACCCAACCTATAAATGAACTTTGGAAGACAATTCATTTCCAAACTGGGTACTGCCTGTACTGATATGTTCCTACTTTGAGAGCTGCAGATCTTGCTTAGAATTGAAGAAAACTGACTTCACTTTCCATTTTGATTTTCTAGGGTAACATGTCCCTTCTTTCCAGCTCTGACTCAGTACAGAGTCCTTCCCTGTGGGATGCTCTTCTTGGTGGCTCTGCCCATTAGACATTCCCATGAAAAATTGAATGTAAATTGAATTTTCCTTTGTTGCATCTGTTTGTAAATGTTTCTGATTTAAATAAGCCCTTTATAGGATTATTACTAAGACACGTAAGGTGGGTGGTATTGTGGCCACTGCCGCAGTGAGGAAATTTGGGAAGCTTTATGTCACAGTGGAATTTGAGTTGTAACAGGAGATAGCCCTTGGGAGTGTCTGGGATCTGATTTTTAGAAACATAGTGCTGTTTGCTGTCTTACAATGGAAGAAAATGGTGCTTTTTTTTTTTTCTTTTAGAGTCACAGTTCAGGCATTTCAGATAATACTGGATTGTTTGCCAGGGGCAAAAATGAGCAAACTCATTTTAGACTAAGAGACTTTTTGCTAAAGAGAAGCAATTGTGAGGCAGTCTGAGAAGCTGAACGAAGATCAGGCCCCAGCAAGTTTCGGAGCAGGCACAGATTTCACTGTGGAGGGGCAGGCTCAGCCCTGCTGGGTGTTGCTACTTCTAGACAAAGGGGCTTTGTCTTTGCTGACTTCCCAGCTCCCTCCACTCCATCCCGTTCAGCGGTTTGACTCCCTGCCAAGACTCTAGAGTCCTGGGGACATGACCTCTTCTACTCATTCTCCGTGACAACCCCCATCCCCCACCCCCTGTGATGGGTCAGTGGGTGCCAACATTCAGGCCAGCCCTGCCTTCGTGGAAAAGTGCCCAAGGTGCAGATATGTGCCCTTGGAGCTCCGAGGACTTTTTCCAGTCTGAAAAATCTGTCCCTCTGTCCATCAGACCATCCATCCATCCACCTGCTGCTACTGAGCACCCCTTGTCCTCATCTTTCTGCATCTCATTACCTTGCATGGTGTGTGGGTAGTTCGGAGTCCTAGAACGTAGAGGGAAAATGATGAGTCAATACATGAAGGAAATTGATACTGCGTCCTTGGCGAAGATCATAGAACAGCCCCAGGGGCCATACGTAGCCACAGGAGGTTCATTGATGTCTGCTGAAAGTCTTATTTCAGCTAAAATAGAGGCCTGGTAGGTTCTGAGCATTTCCTTTGGAGGTTCTGGGAGGTGACATCAAATGCTTTTCTGATCCAGATTCTAATCAGAAGAAAGCTATTAGGCATGAGGAGAAGTCATGCACTTTAGAAGGAAGCTTTTATATTCTCTGTCCAGTCCACCCTTTAAATGTTGCCAAACCTCAGTACTACTGACATTTCAGACCTGATAATCCTCTGCTGTGGGGGAGCTGTCCTGCTCATCGTAAGGCGCTCAGCTGCATCCCTGGACTCCACCTAGTGGACGCCGGTAGCACCTGCTGCTCCAAGTCGTGATAATCACAAAGGTCTGCAGGCGTTGCCGCACGCCCCCTAGCGGCAAAACCGCCCTTTTTGAGAACAGCCTGCCGTGATATTGAACGGCTTTGTCATGCTGACTTGCCATCTCTGCTTCTTTGCTCCTTCCATTGCGTCTTCCAGACTGTGCCTCACCTCTTCCCTCTCTGGTCCTCACTCACGCTTGCCCCAGTGTCTCCTGTCACGGAAGCGTTGCCTGGACCCCTAAATTGGGCTTAGTGCCCGTAGTTCCTGCCACTTACCTGCCTCTCTTTCTCTTTTTTAAAAAAATCGTGTTTATTTACTTTTTTAATTAAAGGATAGTCAGTTTAGAATGTTGTGTTAGTTTCTGGTGTGCAGCATAGTGATCCCCTTATACATACATGTATGTTCCTTTTCATTATAGGCTATTACAAGGTACTGAATATAGTTCCTGGTGTTAAGCAGTAGGATCTTGTTGAGTCCACATCTTTTTTTTTCTTTTTGACTTCCTTCCACAGATACAGCTTTTAATGGATGTATTTCTGTGCCCAAGTCCATACCGAGTGCTGGGACACAGTACTGAACCAGACAGACAAGGTTCCTGTCCCAGTGTCTCCTAGTGGGGACAGACCGACAGCAAGTAAAATGAATAAACATAGTGGCCACAGATGGAGCTAAATGACATGAAGGAAATGAACAGGGTGATGTGACAGTAATGCTTTGGATCGTATCTTGTGCCCTATTATGATAAGTATATATGTGCAGTTTTACCTTGTATTATCCATCCTCCAGCAGACTGTGAGTCCCACAAGGGCAGGGCTGGGGTTTGGTCAGTCCTGTGTCTTCAGTGTAGAGTAGGTGATGATTTTATGGAATTTAACTGCAGGAGGGAGTGAATTACATGATGCCAGGTTGCAACACTGGAGTAAAAGGCATCAGTCCTGGCTCCACCTAGACAGATGTGTAGCTGACTGCTCAGTGGGGCCGTGTTTATGGCCAGAGCAGGGAGAGCCCCCATGTGGGCAAAAGCAATCACAGACTGCTAGGGGGAGGGAAGGACGGGGGAGGCTGACCTTCAGCCGAGCTCCACAGAATGGGTAGGGTTTGGCAAGATCATCAGTAGAGGAGATGCTGTTCCAGAGGGGCTCCCTGTCATTGGAAAGGGAGTGGACGTACCAGGGAGATGGGGACTTAGGGGGTAGCTTCACTTAGGACAGCAAAAGGGCCCTGACCACAGCCCTCCAGTTGTTGACAATGGTAGAGTTTGGAGGATTGCAGCCCTAATCAGGAATCCTGCTGGGTCTTGTAATTCCTTTGGTGTAAATCCGCTTGCTTTTGCCAAGACGCCAGATGGGGGGAGCTTGGGTAGGCTCAGCTCTCAAGGACTGCTCAGATTCCATATGCTATGACATTTGCATCCTGTTTTGTGATCTCTGCTCTTTCAGGCTCAGAAGCGCCTCCCTCCTCGGGCTCCAGGGGCCTCCCAGAGCAGTTGTGTGCTGGGAGCCTGTGTGTGGCCAGGGGTGAGTCGACCCCAATGCCTTTCTGGCTCTGGCCATCTGTCCTGGTGTTTGTGGTTCCCCTCTTTCCTCTCTCTCTTTTTTTTTGGCCAATGTTCTTGCCCATTGTCCCAAGGAGATATAGGAAACTTTCCAGTGGCCACGTTCTTGCTTGATGTTGTAAGCTTGTTCCTAGACAGCAGGATCTGAATCACGTGATTCAGATTCAGATTCAATGACGTGAATGAAGCTCTGTGTTGGGCTGTATTGTCATGAGTTTTTTTCCCTTTTATTTCTGACTCAAGGTAGTTGACATGATGGAAAGGATACAGGTTTGGAGTTAGAGGGACTTGAGTTCAAAATGTGCTTTGTTCCACTTCAGAAAATTACTTACCTCGTTGGAGCTTTAGTTTTAGTTTTTGGAATATGGGAACAGGAAGTCCGAGTGTAGAGAAAGAGATGGATGTAAAACACCCAACATGTACGTGCTCAGTACAGAATGGATCCCCAGTCTATGTAGTTGAGGTCATTATTTTGTCCTTTCAGGGACACTGACATCCTTGGTTTAGAGTTAAGGTTCGTGGACTCCTCGTCTCCGGCAAGGAGATAATGTTCTGCAGAGAAGCATTTAAATCTAGAAGGGGACTGATTGCTGCTGAAAGGAGCTTTCAAAAGCCTAATGTGTTTTGGAGAGTTTTCCGTGTAATCAATTTTTCAGTTCTTTCCTGAGGCCACCTCCTCCTGTGACAGCTGGGAAATGGAGGCCTACCTGTGAATGAGATGTTCTTTCAGAAGTAGAATCAGAGGAGGGGATCTTGATCACTTGTGTCTTTGAACGAGGAGAGAGGAGGTCATTGTCTAAAGTAAAGACACAGCCTTCAGCCCAAGTGTTGCCTATAAAGATACTTCCTTGTAAATTCCTCTGTATTTCGATACTTCAAAAAAAAAAAAAACCCAGCCAGCTCCTTTTTGAATCATTTACAAATATTCATTGAGTGGCTGCTGAGTGAGAGGCGTCCAGGCAGTGTGCTGGGTG